TTTCATTTTGTTTAGTGCGTTAGTATAAAGACATCTATTAATCTGAGTGATATTTATTATTTAATTTTTATTTAATTTATCGCAGTTAGTGAGTATAAAAAATGGGTATTAATCTAAATATTTAAAATCAACTGTTCAAGTTCATAAATATTTACTTTTTAATTTCATTTTATACATTTAATTTAGTGGGTGAGTATGAAGTAAATTTATTAATCTAAACATTTATTCGAGTTCGTAAATATTTACTATTTAATGTATTAATTTAGAGAGTAAGTGTAACAACATTTATTTAATTAAAACGTTTAAAATAAGATATTCATGTTCATGAGTATTTACTATATATTTTTATTTTATTCATGTCAATTTAGAGAGTGAGTATAAAGAATATTTATTAATTGTCACGGATAATGTTGGGATTAAACCCTATTTAATATACGGATTTTAAATTTTTTTTGAGATACACTTGTTTTAATTTAGACTAAGATTTAGGGATAGAGTATATAATAAAAGAGTATAGATGTTTTGGTAGAATTTATATTTCAAAATTAAGGTCCCATATTTCGGCATTATCCGCGACATTGAATATTTAAAATAAAGTATTTAGGTTCATGAATATTTATATATAATTCATTTAATTCATTCTAATTTAGTAAGTGCGCATAAAGAACGCTTATCAATTTAAATATTTAAAATAAGTTATTCAAGTTTATAAATATTTATTTTTAATTTTTATTTACATTAATTTAGTCGGTGAGTATAAAGAACGCTTCTTAAACTAACTATTTAAATAAGCTATTCAAATTCATTAACATTTACTATTTAATTACAGTTTGTGAGTATAAAGAACATTTATCAAACTAAATATTTAAATAAGTATTCACGAATATTTACTATTTATTTAGTATGTGAGTATAAAGAGGATTATTATATAGATATTTAAGATAAACTATTAAAGTTCATGAATATTTTATATTATAATTTCATTTACGATAAATTAGAGGGTGAGTATAAAGGATATTTATTAAACTAGGCATTTATAATAAATTATTTGAATTCATTAATATTTACTGTTTAATTTTATTTATGTTAATTTAGACAGTAAGTATAAAAAAATATTTATTTAATTAAACGTATAAATGGGCAATCAAGTTTATTTAATTTCATTTTATTTGTGTTAATTTAGTGAGTGATTACAAAGAACGTTTATTAACAAGTATTTGGAATAATCTATTAAAGTTCATGAATATTACAATTTGATTTCATTTTATTCATGTTGATTTAGGGCGTGAGTATAAAGAGTTTTCAAGTTCATGAATATTTACTATCTAATTTTCATGAATTTAGAAAGTGAGTATAAAGAATATTTAATAATCTAAGTATTCAAAATAAGATATTCAAGTTTACGAATATTTACTACTTTATTTATTTTATTCGCCTGAACTAGTCGGTGAGCATAAACACTATTTGCATTTAAGTATCGCATAATAATATGAAAATAGCTATGTTAAAATTAACATAATTAATATAAATCTATAGAAATTCTGGATATGGAAAATGTATACATTGTAATGAATATAATACAAGTAAAGCATGGTGTTTAACATGTGATCCTGACATGACAATTCAAGAATGGACAAGTGGAAATAAGAATATTGACGATTTTATGAAAGAGTTCCAACTTAGAACTGATATGTATAAACGTATGATTGAATGGATTTCATTTGATAGACTAAATAATATTAAAAAAATTGGCCAAGGAGGATTTGGCTCGGTATTTTCTGCAACTTGGTTGGATGGTATACGGAAAATTGAAAAAATTAAGAAAAGTAATGATAATTACGAATATGTAAGATTGCGTGAACCATCTAGCACCGTAGCGCTCAAAACTGTGCTCAGTTCTAAAGAAAATCATGATATTTTGAAAGAAGTAAGAAAATTATCATTCATTATATGATTTATTAAACACACGTTTTTAATTAATTTGTATAAATTAAATAGTTTGACAATCATATGAAATGTGCATTAACCGGTAGTAAGCTTAAAATATACGGATTGACACACAACAAAGAAACAAACGAATATTTGATGGTATTCCAATATGCAGATAATGGAAGTCTTCACACGTTTTTAAGAAAAAATTTTAAAGACCTTACTTGGCAGTCTAAGTTGAAATTACTTTTCGATATTTCAAGTGATTTACGTGATATTCATTATGCAGGATATATTCATGCAGACTTTCACAGTGGTAATATTTTGCAACATAAAGGCATTAGTAAAAGTATGCAATCTTATATCTCAGATCTGGGATTGTCTAAAAAGATAGATGGCAGTAATTCAGAAGGTTGTAGTTATGGTATCATGCCTTATGTCGCTCCTGAGGTTTTATTAGGTCAAAGGTTCACACAGGAGGCCGATATTTATGGTTTTGGAGTTATAATGTCAGAGATGTCAACTGGACAGAGACCTTTTGATGGTTATCAATTTGACGAAGAACTTGCAGTAAAGATTTGCAATGGATTGCGGCCTGAATTTGCTCCTGGAACTCCCGATTACTATATTGAATTAGCTAAGCAATGCATGGATTCCAATTCAGAAGAACGGCCTGATGCTTCAGATATTTATAATAAACTTAAAGAGTGGAATAATAGCATGGAAAGTTCAGATGATGCAAATGAAATTAAAAAGCAATTCTTGGACGCAAATAAAATAGTCAAAGCATTACCGACTATCTCACCACAACATCCTGATTTTATGTATACGAGCAAAATTATCAACACTCAAAGAATATCACGTGCAAGTAAAGGTATTTATTTTAAAAATTATTGATAATATTCATTGATTTAAAGCTAATTATACTATTAGCAGTTTTACCAAGTACACTTATCGATTCTACTAAAATTCCAGCTGGTAAGTACTATATTAAACATACAATATTTGCAATTAAATAAATTTATTACTTATTTTTCATTTGTATTTAGACATTTGATTTAATCACTTTAAAGATACAAGCTTATTTTAATCATTATTTTTTATAATTAGTTAATTTTAATATTGCCAAATGCTACTAGGAAAATATACAACCAAAAAATACCTATTTTAAAAAAATGCTAAATTATTTTTTATTTAAAATCAAAATATACTGTAGATTAGATTCTTAAAAGGTTTATTTTCAGAATTTTCATATATAAATTTATATATAAGTTTTAATATTACTATCGATCTATATTTAAGACCTTTAATTTTAGTCATAATCAATGGAAATCAATCAGTTGATTACTAATTCTTTTTTTTTTTTATTCAGTTTGATTTTACAAAATAGCTGCTCAAATTACCCAAAATCACATATAAAATAATCCGACAATATTTTCTGATTAATGCTAGGATAATTGTCAATATGTCATGTGATGTTCAAATTGTTGGGGCGGTGATTTTGTTAATATTACTCAAAATTTTACTAATAAAATACAATTCGGCGAATTTGAGAAATTTACCTTTATTAGGCCACGCAAAGTTGATTTTTCGTTTTGCATTACATGGATTTCTAAATTTGGGACGGACGGACGGATTTTTTTTTTTTTTTTTTTTTTTTTTTTTTATTATTATTATTATTATTATTTATTTTATTATTACTGTAATCTAAATTAATATTCATATTCGCATCTAATTCCTGAGCTTTCGTGTAGTCAAGGCCTTTTAAATTGTTCAGATACTATAGCTACGACTTCAGATTAATGTAATCATTGATGTGGTGTTACGATGGGCTTGTTGCTAATTCTACAAATATATTGTTATCAATTAATAATTTAAATAAGCTTTAAAAAAACGTCTCATGGTTATATAAAATAATTCAGCTAAAATAAAAGGGATAAATGAATTATGTACGCTTGCTGATAATTCTTTAATATGATGTTACCGATTAATAATTTAAGCAAAATTCTGCTAAAATGATAAGGGTAACTTGAATACGAGTGATTTTGATTATTATTGATCGAAAAAGTGTTGCACTCATGTTATTGCTGGAATGAATAAGGCCTCATGTTCCGGATTGAATTTATTTAAAGAATGCACATCGATCGATATTCAATAAATTCATATTTCAAAAAAATGCATGTATCGGTTCCTATTGATGTACAAACGGGATATGCACCCGGAAAATAACGCTAGGTATCCCATAAGCAGCATAAGGGGCATTGGCCGGCGGGTCCCATTGTGTAAAACAGGCCCATCAAAGAAAATAAGCAGTTGCTACGAAAATGGCAGGGCAGGATTCGAACTCTTCCTGCTCAATATACTTGGGCGTTGTTTTCCCTTCGTGGAACAAAGGTCGCAAATAGAATATTCGAAATGCAGAAAGTGCAGACATGTTTGCTTTGTTATATATACTATACTTGGCTGAACCTTGCTTGGCAACGATTACCGAATTTGGACGCTGATGTAAAGTCATACGTACCTAAACTATAGTTACACTTGTGATGCTGATCTTCGCCACATTTAATTATCATGGTTCATATACAGTCAACTCTGGACATAACAAACCTTTATACAGAGAATTCGGCGTATAACGAACTCAAATTTTAAATTACAATATTAGTTCGGTATAAAATGAGCTATGGCTCTTAAAAAAACATAGTGGTTTGTTATAACGATGTTTTTTTTTGCCCAGATCCATCAGTTCGTCATAAAGAGTTGACTGTATATAGAATTATTAGTAATTACCGTTATGTGCATTAATCTCCCAAAATAGCATTTAATTTAATTTGCATTTATCGATCTGGGTCATGTCACTGAAATCCAGTTTTTTCAATCTTATTCACATGAGTAAGCAGTTTTTTCTTACCTTTTTAATTTCTTTGCTAACTTGAATTGTTTTTTGTTGCACCCTAAACTGTGCAAGTATAAATCACAACTGTAATTTATGACGCTTATTCTATATGTTGCTATAGTTACATATTCGAGCAAAAGTTTTGAGCTTTATTAATTTTCGTTTAACAAAAATCGAAATGCCTGTTGTTTCTGTACGTATTAAGGCAGAAAGTGTAAAAGTAGACTGGATTGGTGTTCCTATACCGAAAGATATTACAGTAAGACAATTTTATGAGGATCTTATTGCAGGAAAAATTGTTTCCGAAGTGCGGTTAGATAATGAAGACCATCTGCAGCCAATTAAAGCTGAATTTTCATCCAATAAAACTGGTCCTTTTAATGTTGTTAGTATGGAATGTAATATGATTGAGGCAATTGAAGCTTGGGGAAACAGAGTACAATATTATCAAACAAATAGCTCAACATCATTATTGTCTAAAGCGCCAATTAATGTTTTTTCACAAATGATGAATAATGCTACTAGCTTAAATAATTTACCAACTTTTACTGTCTCTGAACACTCAAATGCACTAGAAAAATTGCGATATGATATTGTTGAATGGATTCATGAAAATAATGGAGGATGGGGCAAAGATACTGCTATGACAACCGGAAAAGAATTTGTTAAAGACTTAGCTGCTGCATTGTGGTATGTAGATAAATGTGATCCAGCTAAATTAAAAAATCGAAGTTGTAATATTCCTGTTGAAATGGAACAATTTACTGGATGCTATGATGTGATTTGCAGAAAAAAAGCAAAAGAACGGTTTGATGCAACTATTCTTGCATATCATTCAAATATTTTATTTAAATATACAAGATCTGCATGGATTAAAAAGTTAGTATTTCAGTGGCTTGTTAATCCATTAGAAACATTAGCTACAAATTTATCTCAATATCAGGAAATTTTACAAAAACAGCTAACAACTACAACACAAAATCATCTTTCTTTTGAGCCAGTTAAAAAAAATAATAGTTTTCTTACTATTTTACAGCCTAATTTGATTAGAAAATCATATTTTATTAGTCATTATCAATCTTTAGTTGATTTTCTTGAACAAACTGATTTTTGGGAAACAATAAATATTGAACTATTTCTTCCGAATGAACCTGTGTAAGTTATTGTAATTTTAAATATAAAATATTTTTCATTAATATATTTTAACTAAGTTTATTAATAGGCCAAAACATCGATATATTAAAGAATTAGACAAAGGATTACCATTTAAATTAGCACAATATATACATGATAGTGAGCATGGTTGTTCAGTAATATATTTATGGCATATACTTTCAATTGCTTCTGATTCAGAAATAATGTCACGCAACTTTGAAATAGCAAAATTGTTAGAAAAAGATATACATATTTATCATACTCGTGCAATGCGCAAACTTTGGAAATCTAAATGTGAAACTTTATTGGGCTCAGTTAAACCAATAGCACTATGTTTACTATATTGAGATTTGACTAATGATTATACTATAGCTGAAAATCAGAATGAAAAAGAAGTAGATAATAGAATTAAATTAGCATTGCAGCTTGGTGATCCAAAAATTATTACTGATTTACGAGAACATAATTCTGGTGCACTAACACATTATAAAGTATTTTGGAAAGTAGCACAAGATTTTCTTGCTAGTACAGCAGATTCATTGCTTGCAGTTGATGATCGTAGACATAGCACAGTAATTCATTTAGCTAGAGCAATTTCTGTTAATGATTTTATACAACAAGTTACTGCATTGTGCTCTTCTAATACACCAATTCCATGCAATCAATGGGTTCGATTACAATTTTGGCCAAAATCTCCCTATAATTTAAATGCATTACAATATACTGGTCAATTAAATATAAAATTTATGGTTCAAGTTCAACAATTTCGTATAAATCATCCTGATACACATTATGCTTCAGCACTTTTTCGATATCAAAAAGAATTGGCAATAAAGTTTTGGGAATATAGTTTATTTTATTTTCTTGATGATAAACATCACTGTAAAGTAGGTGAACCTGGATATCCAGTAGCTGCAGTAGAACGTGGAAAACAAGTTTTAGTTGGGTTAAATGAAACTTTTTTAGTTAGTGATCATGATTTTACTAAGGTTGGAATTGTTCCTAGTGTTATAATGAGATGCAATATACCAGAATCAATTAATAATTCATTTTATAAAGGCCATGTATTTATAGCTTTAAAAGATCCTATATTTGAAGCATCATCTCCTTTATGCCATTCAACAGAACTTTATCATATTATTCAAAATTATAATATAAATTTACCAATATTATTTTTATATACAAATGGAGGTCTTGATCATCGTACTAATTATTTATCTGTTTAAATTTCTCTTATTTCTCTTTATTTGTCTCTTGATCTTGATTATTTAGTAGCTGTAAGAACTCCACCAGGTCATTCTTGGAAAAATCCAGTTGAAAGAATTATGTCAATATTAAATCTTGGGCTTCAGTGTGTTGGATTAATGCATAAAAAAATGTCTCAACAATTTGAACAAATTTTGGAAGGCTGTAATTCAATTAAAGATATTAGAGAAAAAGCTAAAACCTATCCAAATCTTCAACAAGAATTAAATAATAGTTTACAACCTGTAAGAGAGCTTTTAAATAGCATTTTTGCTCGACAAAGTTTAAAAAATGAGCTATTTACAACTATAAATGCTGCAACAACTGAAGATATTGATCATATATTTGATGCAATATTAAAATTGGATAAATCTATGTCAAAATCTGATAAAGTATGGAATATAGTCAAAAATAAGGTAATACAGTATTCTTTGTAATAATAAATTTTATTATATTATTATTTAATATTATTTAATATTATTTATTTCATTAGATTAAATTTAAAGCATTTTTTGATCATTGCTGTCAATAACAGCATTATTTTTTTTCAATCAAAAAGTGTGGAAAAGAAGAGTGTATTATTTGCAAACCTATAAGACTTCCACAAGATATTTTTAGCCAAATTCATCACTTTCCCGATTCTATTCCTAGAAAAGATAATCACTATGCTTTTTTAAATGAAATATATAGTAATAATACTACTGAAATTTATCATCCATCACTTGAAAATAGTAAAAATGGCAAAAAGTCTCAATTAAAATTAAAACATAGTATGCCATTTAATGGTACAGCACAAAGAGCAAAAAATGTTGGTATAACTGTTATGTGTTCAGAATGTGAACACTGGCGATTATTTTATTTCAAGCAAAAATTAAATAAACAAGAAAAAAAATTATTAGTTGCATACTTGGATACTATTGATTATTATTGTGGCTCATCATTTTGTAATGCAGACAATTTATTTGGTATTCAAAAACAAACCTCTGAAATAGAAGCTAATATTGAATTAGAAAGTGAATCCAAATTAGTAGCTAATACTGAACTAGAAAGTATATCTGAATTAGTAAATAAAGCTGAATTAGAAAGTGAATCTGAATCGGAAATCAATACTGAATTAAGAAGTGAATCTGAATTAGTAAGTGAATCTGAATTAGTAGCTGATGCTGAATTAGAAAGTGAATCCGAATTAGTAATTACAGAATCAAAGTTAAAAAGTAAAAAACATGCTATTAGTGAAATTGAATCAAGTAATAGTGAATATAGTGACAATAATGCTAATTTTTTATTGAACCAAAGTGAGATAAATAATTTTCAGTATTCAGATTCAGAAACTTGGGAAATTTTATTTTACCAAAGTAATGATATTGATAATGAATTGGTGGATGATAAAGATAGAGATTATTATGATGAATTATTAAGCAATAAGAATGATGATAACTTTAATAAATCTGATGAAAGCAATAAATTAATGGATAATAAAGAAAGCAATTATGATAATGAATTGATGGATGATAAAGATAAAGATTATTCTGATGAATTATTAAGCAATGAGAATGATGATAACTCTAATAAATCTGATGAAAGCAATAAATTAATGGATAATGAAGAATGCGGTTATGATTCTGAAACTAGAAGTTTATCAAGTTTAGAATTATTAGATACTGACAAAACAACAATTAAGCTTTGGTGAGCAAAATCTAAAGTATATCCTGACTTAGTTTGAATTCTGATCATTAAACGAATCTACAGTATACTCTTAATTTGTTTTGTGTTTATAGCAAATTTATTCAAAAAAGTATTTAAAACGATACATGCATCATACTTTTTTTTGCCAAAATTCAATAAAACATTGAACCCAATATTAAATATATAATAGTAAATAAAAAATGTCATCATCCAAAGATAATTCTAAATACAAAACAAAAAAAGTTCAATGTTATTGTCCAAAATGTAATAGGAAATTTGTTGATCGAAGAACGCAACAAGAGCATATTAGCCTAGCCAATATTGGTAGATCTACTACAACCATAGAGAGATCATCAACTAAACGTAAATATAAAGAAGAACCACTTTCAAAACACAATAGTTCAGAAAGTGAAAATTCTAAAAATGAATATTCGGATAGTAGTACTTCTGAAAATGAGGAAGCACCACTACTAGCATTCCAACCAAAAAGTAATGATTCAAGTGGATCTTCAAATAACAGTAGTTCTGAAAATGATAAAACCAATGATTCAGAAAGTGAAGAAGATAGTACAACCAGCGAAGAAGATAGTACAACTAGTGAAAATGATGAAGAA